AAATCAGCCGGGCATGGTAGCACGTGCCAATAGTTCCAGCTACTTGGAAGGCTGAGGCGACAGGATTGCCAGAGCCCAGCAGGTCGAGGCTGCGGTGGTCCGGAGCGTGCCACTGCACTCCAGTCTGGGTGACAGAGTGAGACTCCAACTCAAAAAAAGGAGCAGTAAAAGATTAAGGAACTTTCTAAGAGACTGCCCTTCTGTGATGGATAAGGGATACAAGAAGTTCTCCTGACTTCTAGCCTAGGATTTTCCCTTCTGTCACCCTGGGGACACTGGGAACATCTGGGAAGCCTTCATTTCAGGGGATGCTGAAGAGAAGAAGAGTTCAGGGCTCTTGGGGGGTCATGCTAGAATCAGAGGCAAGACAAGGTGATCCTCTAGTTTTGATTGCGATGAATCTGGTGCGAGGGAGAAGAGAACAGGATATCTTCTTGCTGCTGTGGGAGACCAGAAGGTACCTCCCCAAAATACAAAGCAGCGCTGAACTAAGACAATGAAGCAGCAGCAGATGCAGGAGAGCTCTCTGTCGTCCCCCTATTTGCCTAAAAGCAGGACATGGATTTACCAAGACAAAAGGTATCCTGCCTTCCTCTCTCCACAAGAGAACAGAGGTTAACCACTGATGACAGCCTGAGGCCCTCCTCGGCCTTGAGATGACACCGGAGGATTTATATTAACAAGCTCTCCTAATTAAACTTTGTCTGCCATTTGTTTTCCTTCCGCTCAGTTGCTGCCCACAAAGACTCAAAGTCCCTTTCCTTTGTCTCGTGTCTCTACAAATGCATTGTTCTTTGTTGAAGATGCTGTATAAGCCAGACTTCTAAGCCACTGAATTACCTTTCGTTGAGGTTTTTCCCTGCAGGCTTGCTCGCGCGCGCGCGCGCGCACACACACACACACACACACACACACACACACACACACACACACACACACACACACAGCTGGACACAGATTTGGGGCATTTTGAAACACATTTCAAATCCCTTGGAGTCACTCAGGGAGAGACCTGGCCAGAAACTGCCACCCCGTGAAGAACCAGATCTGGGTCTAGATTTCCTTCCAAATTAGGCGACAGTGCCAAGGATAGGGAGGGGCTGGGTCAATCTGCTGGCCTAATTTCCTCTGTTTTCACACTGTGAAGGAGCCAAATAAGACTAGGCTGCAATGACAATAGAAAGGAATTTCTTTAAAAAGAGTGCGTAGATGCATTTCTAGGGTTGTTCTACAGCACTAGGCCCTCCAGTCCTGGCCGGGAGCCATGTCCCAACATCCAGACCCTCACTCCAGATCATGACCCTCCATCTAGAGCATGAGTTCTCCTTCTTCAGAGGTCCTCAAACTTTTAAAACAGGGGGCCAGTTCACTGTCCCTCAGACCGTTGGAGGGGCGGACAATAGTTTTTTAAAAAAAGGAAT